TAACCTTATCCCCTTGCTCCGTGCTAGCCAGATGATGCTCAAGATATTGCCACCACTCAGAGAAACAATCCAACGTAATTTGTGAAGCGAAGAGCATTTCCAAACAAGTTGTGAATCAGGACAGCGAAGGAGAAGATGATCAAGGGTATCCAATTCAACACCACGAGGACACCATGGATCAACAACACTTTACACTAACAAATAACAAGATTAGTAGGGAGAATATTATGGGCACATCACCAAATAAAATGCTAAGTTTTTTGCTTAATAGGTAGCCTCCAGATTGACTTCCAAACATGCTGAATGTTACCCAAAAACCTAGTGTCACCTAGCAATCGAGTAGCATTATGTTTTTCCATGCACACTTGTGAAACAAGATCATATATGGAGTGAAATGTAAATTCACCAGTAGAAGAAAAGTGCCAATTCGTTTATCCTCAACCCCCCATGTAGCTGAGAGGAATAGCCATAATCATACGTGCCACATTTTCTGAGAAATAATGCAATAGAAGAGCTTGATTCCAGGTCATAGAAACATGATCAATCAAATCAAACACCAAAGTAATGTGAGCATCTTCTGGTCTATAGACCAGCACTCGAAAGGTAGATTGATTAGGAAGCCAAGGATCATCCCAAATTCGAATATTTTGACCATTACCCAGTTGCCAACGCCAACCACACTCCAACACTTTTCGGCCTGCAAGGATACTCTTCCAAGCCCATGAAGAGGAAACAGAGTCTTTTGCTACCCAAAATGAAGTATTGGAGAAGTATTTAGCTTTGAAAATTCGTTTAAAGAGAGATGGCTGCCCCAAGACAAGAAGTCACCCCTGCTTAGCAAGCAATGCCAAATTTATTGATTCAAGATCTCAAAAGCCCAACCCACCTCTTTTCTTACACGCACTTAACTTTGGCCAACTCAACAATGAACTTTCCTTTCACCACCTTGACTACCCCACCAAAATCTAGCACTAGCAACATTGATCTTTTTGGGCAATGAACCCAAGAGTTTAAAATAGCTCATAGAATAATTCGGCATGGCCATAAGGACTGATTTGAGAAGAACTTCCCTCCCAGCTTGAATAAGAAAGTTTTCCTTCCACCCTGCAATGCAAAAGAGAACACGATCTTGAATGAAGTGAAACACCTCCATTTTTGAGAGCCCAATAATAGAGGGCAACCCAAGATATTTCCCTCCATCAGCCACATGAGCAATGCCTAAAGATTGCGAAATTAAGCTATGCCGATCTTCTGGAGTATTAGGGCTGAAAAACACCTCAGACTTATCTCGATTGATAGCCTACCCCGAAGCTGTCTCATATATGTTTAATACATTTTGCACAGAAATGCAATTAGCAACCGAGGTCTGGCAAAAAATGATAAAGTCATCAGCAAATAAAAGATGAGATATGGGTGGACAAGAACGACTAATACGAACACCATGGAACTGAAGTTGGGCTTCCACCTGTTGGAGTAAAAGATGGAAACCTTCCACACACAAAATAAATAGCACAAAAGATAATGGACAGCCTTGGCGTAGTCCCCTCCTTGGATTAAAGGCAGCTTTATGCTCACCATTAAGTATAATAGAGAACGAAACTGTCGAAACACACTCCATAATCCATGAGACCCAACGGTTATTAAAACCCATCTTCAGCATAATTGCCTCCAAATAAGCCCAACTAACTCGATCAGAGGCTTTAGTCATGTCGAGCTTGATAGCCATGAAGCCTGATTGTCCTTGGCACCGTTGTTTGATATAATGCATAACTTCATGTGCTACCAAAATATTATCCGTGATTTGCCTTCCAGCCACAAAACCACTTTGATTTTCACTGACTAAAGAGGGAAGTAACGGAGACAATCGCTTTGCTAGTATCTTCGAAATGATTTTTTACAAAATTGTACACAAGCTAATCGGCCTATACTGTGAAACTTTGACGTGATGGGGTACTTTCGGAACAAGAGAAATATGAGTATGGTTAATACAACGAAGCATCTTACCATTATGGAAAAAAGCTTTGATAGCAGAACACACATCAGAACCAACTACACCCCAATAAGCTTGATAAAATCCAACAGTTAAACCATCGACTCCTGGAGCTTTAGACGGGCTCATATCAAATAAGGTCGCTCGAATTTCTACATCAGAAACTGAACCAGTGAGCTGAGTATTCATAGATGCATCCACAAAGCATGGAAACAAACCAAGAGTAGGTTCTGGAGAAGACTGACTATCTGGTGAGTAAAGTTGCTGAAAGAAAGAATTAAATTCTAAGGCAACACTATCCATATCACTAAGCCAATCCCCTAAAACTGATTCCACGTCAGAGGTACGATTACAGGACCTCCGTTGCATAGTGCACGCATGGAAAAACTTGGTATTCTTGTCTCCAAGACGAAGCCAGTCAATTCTCGATTTCTAACACCAAAATTCTTCTTCTTTACCCCAAGCCGTCTAAAGTTGGTGTTCCAAAGAACAAATATGGGTTTGATTAGGCCTTTGACTCTGCCTTTCAACCACCTTGAACATGCGAGAACTCGAGAGATCCGCTTCCCAACTACGTTGGATAGTAATCAAATTTGAACCAACTACGAGAGCACACTGGATATGGGTAGAGATCCAAAAGCAAGCTATTATGATCTGACCCAACACACTCACAGTGCGTAACCATAGCTTGATCAAAAGAAATTCGCCAATCTGCACTAGCCAAGACTCTGTCCAAACGCTCCACAATGTAACTCCCAACATTTCTGTTATTACGCCAAGCAAACGGGAATCCACTAAAACCCAAATCTAAAAGTCCACGCCCATCAACAAAAGAAGGAAAAATAAGTAAAGACCAATGAGGACAAGAATGGCCACCTCGCTTTTCTTCGGCATGCAAAATGTCATTAAAATGTTCCCAGTTTATCCAATTCTGACCAAAGCTAGCACTAAGCCCCTGAATACAATGCATCTAAGAAAGCCGCACTGAATCAATTGAACTAAAATACACGCAAATTAATCGCCAAGAGTATTTTGATATTGCATCAACCACTTGAGCTTCCATGAAAAAATCCGTTGTATAAATAACGCTCAACTAAATTTCATTCTTCCAAAACAAGGCCAAACCACCCGCAATACCCATTGAGTCCACAATACAAGACTGATCCATACGTAAATTTTTTTTGGATAATTCGCAACTTCTAATCAGAGTTCTTTGTCTCACTAAGGAAAAAAAACCCCGGGGAAATAGAGCTTAGAGAGCTCCTTCAGTTGATGAATTGTCAGAGGGCTCCCCACACTTCGACAATTCCATGCCGAAGTTCTCATCTAGCCACTGGGGGCCACTCTCGGCTAGCCACCTCCATTGTAGAATCGGAAACACTAGAGCCATTCTTCGATTTCTTAACAGGAACAACTTCAACACCAGAATTAGTAATAGAGAGGGAAGAGGAGTTACGCTTGCCCACAATTGCGCTTGGTGGAATTGGAGCCGAATTACCATTCGGGGCTACGCGTTCTCTTTTTATACCCTTTAGGACTGGCTTTGCCTGAAAAGGGGAAGAGAGAAGGTAAGGTGGTAGTAGAAGGCAGAGCTAAGCAAGGCGAAGGAGGAATAACAGGTGGGTTTGGGATTTGGGGATGGAGCGAAGAAAGAGGTAAGGAACTAGACAGAGGGGATGAAGTAATATCAGACTAATTAGGGACAGGATGTGTGTGATTGGAAGCAGTAGGGAATATAAGTTTGGCATGTCTTGAAAAAAAGATAAAAAGTTAAAAAGTCACTATCTTATGTAAGTCATATTATCTTATTTAAGTCACATTATTTCTCTTATACATCACTTCAAACCCAATTCAAATCCAACTCATATTTCATAAAAAGTCAAAAAATACACTTATTTGAATCATCCCAAACAACCCTTGGCCTACCTCAACAGGAGTGGGATGGGTTGAGGTGTTGGGTTGGTTTAACAGCATGGCTGAATGGTCTTATTTGGTAAGCTTTGTGAGAGGCGGTAAAGTAGGAGAGGCTGTGGAGGAATCCATCAAGCCCAAAGTGATGATGTTGGGCCTAGTTTGATCTGGCAAGAGGACTCTAGATGGCCCACCTGCGTTGGGTAAGGAGTTCTGGAAGGCAACTTCCATGATCATCTCAACACATCCCGGCGAATCAGTCTCCCTGGATTTAGTGGGATCAAGAGTAACACCATCACGACCATTACGGGAATTAGAAAGTCATTGAAAAAAGTTTAAAAAATTAACAAAATTTTAATTTATATAAAAAAAATTAAAGATTCTTTTTCTCACACTAATATTTTTTTCAAATTTCTTTTTTTTATAAAATATCAAAAAAATTATTCTAAATATATTAATTTTTTTCATCTCATATTTTAATTAAAAAATTAAAAAATTACTTAAAAAAAAATTCTCAAACAATGTCTTAGCTTAGTCTCTACATAGGGTTACAAACAAGTCAAGTGAGTCGAATCGAACTCGAGTTCGAGTTCAGCTCATTTATTTATCGAACTCATTTATTAAATTTAAGTTTAACTAGATAACTAATTAAGTTTGAACTCGGCTCGAATTGTTAATATTAATAAAACTCAAACACAATTCAATTAGAAGTCACTTTTTTAGTCACGACTCTAATGTTAACAAAAATTAGTCTCCAATATTTTTAAAATTTTGATCTTTAAAATCATTATATATTTTGTAATACACGTATTTATATAATAAAAAAAAAGACACACATCTACACTATTACATAAAACACAAATTTTTTATCACCATTTTTTATAACTAAATTACCACTTCTAGATCTAGGCCAAGTTTGACTACTCAAAATAAATACACACTTTTTATTTTTTTATCTTTTTTTTATCACATCATCTCTTTATTTTTCTACACATCTTTTCATAAAAAAACAAAAAATACACCTATTTAAATCATCCCAAACAACCCCCTTATTATCTTAAAATAAGACCTTAATCCACCTCCACTCCCACCTCGCCCCCGACCTCGACCTCCACTCGTTTACTCAACGAGCTAATATTTGGTCCTGCGAACAGGTCGATTGGTTCGCAGTGGTACCTCTACATGCATACACATCACATGATAAATGCAAACCAAATACTCACTTTTTCACACATCCCCCCTTTCCTCTTCCTTCGCTCCTCTCTCTCTATAATATAATATTATATATATATAACGATTGTAGATCTTTGAATTTTGTGTGCTCAAATTACAGGTTGATTACCTCAACGAAGAAGTAGATCCGGTCCCGATCCCTGATTTCGTTTGTTTCCCTTTTGCGTATTGAATTCGAACTCAGAAGGAATCATCATGGGTTTGTTCTCAAACCCTCCTCCTTCTAAGCCTAGTAGTTCCTTTCTCTTCCTTGCTTTCCTCCTCTTCTCTGCTCTCTTGCCCTACGTTTCTGCTCAGGTAATCTCTCTCTCTCTCTCTCTCTCTCTCTCTCTCTCTATATATATATATATATGTATAATTTGAGTGTTTTGTGTTCTTATTTCCAAGGAATTTACTGGGGAAACTAACAATGAGGAGTCAATTGGATCAATTAAAGATCTTGGTCGGCGTAGCAAAGTGAGTTACACCTCTCTTCTGTTTTCCCCTCTCGAGAAAGCGTGAAAACTAAAACAAAAAAGGGAAATTTGAGATTTTGTGTCTTTTTGGCCCCATGAATTCAAGTCAATGATTCTGAAGATTACAAGATTGATTTCGCTATGATTTTTCTATATGATTTTGGGTTTTTTTTTTTTGGTTTTTTTGGAACAGATTGTTTTCGACAAAATTGGTGACTCTATAAGCAACAGTGATGATCTTGGTGTTAGCTTAGATTCTGATGGCCTCGGAATTTTTGATGCATTCTTTGCTAGTTTGTCGATGATTATTGTTAGCGAGGTTTGAATTATTTTGTATACCCAATTACATTTATGTACTTGTAGTGTACTGCTAAAGATTGTCGCAACTTTCATAAGGATGATATTTATCGATAAAATTGGGTCAGTGGGTGACCATTTTAGGTACATTTGGTTGCTTCTGCAGTGAAATTGTCATCTTTGGTGATGTCTTTTATTGATATTGTTAGCCATTGGTCTAATTGATGTTTTTACCTATCTTTTGTTGCTAGATTGGAGATGAGACTTTTATAATTGCTGCTCTTATGGCAATGCGTCACCCTAAAGCAATTGTTTTATCCGGTGCACTCAGTGCCTTGTTTGTAATGACAGTAAGTTAACCGTTTTCTTGGTTTTATTTCCCCAACGTTAACTGTGGTTTCCCCTTCCATGATTTTGACACTTTGACACACCTATAATGGTCCCCAATTATCACGTTACTCAGCAACTATGGAGCACTACTTTATGGTTTGTTTTCATTTTTTTTATTTATTTTGTGGTAACGGTGGCCAATAATAAAGTTATGTGAATTAGGTACTTTCTACTGGGCTTGGTAGGATTGTGCCAAATTTGATATCGAGGAAGCATACAAACAGTGCTGCTACAGGTGTATATTCTTTTTTAATTTTAATCAGCTACAAAAGTTTATTGGAAAATGATAGGAAAATGAGTATAACAAAGATCAAGGAGCACAAAACAGTCCACCAAAAAGACAATAAGTAAAGCAAAATTGCAGTGTATATTATAGTTTTCTAGGAAATACAATGGTTTCTACAAAGATTTACATGTTTAGATTTGGTTTAGTCTCTATTTCTCGATGTTGTATATTTGTATAAAAGTTCTGTGATCATTGAATAAGAACTGCATGGAAATGTGCAAATTATATTAAATCCCAAAACCAATTATCATCCCAGACTTGTTATTTACTGTTTATTGATTTGGCTTCTCTCTCTCTCTCTCTCTGATTGAACTTCAATTGCAATGATAAAATAGTTGTCATTTCTGCTTGTGTGATATCTGATTGCTATTGTTGGCTCACATTCTGGTTTTTGCCATTTCTACTTGTGTGATATCGGATTTCTGTAAGACGTTCTTGGTGGCTCACATTCTGGTTTTTGCCTCTCTTTTAGTCAGCATCATGTATTTCTCTTTTAATTTGGCTAACTTCTCTGTATGTTGCTTTTTAGTGTGTTGGCATTTGACTTTCTTGCACAATTATTTAGCGCTGGAACTTCTTTCCTATCTAAGGTGAAAATGTTCCAAAATGAGAAATATTGAATGTTCAAATATCTCTTAAACACTCTAGAGTTGTACATTGCATTTATTAGATGGTTTTGCAATTTAATTTTGCCAAATGGATCTGTTGTGCTAGTAATGCATTTAAAAAAATTGTCATTTTCTGGTGCAGTTCTTTATGCCTTTTTTGGCCTACGATTACTTTATATTGCATGGAGAGCAGATTCGAAAGTATCTCAGAAGAAAGAAATGGAGGAAGTATGTTTTTCTTAATATTCTTTTCATTTTTGTGGACATGATATTAAATGCCTTTTTGAGTATAATTTGTGCCAATGTAGTGAAACAGTTTTATTTATTTATTTATTTTGGTTTTTAGATTTACAGTTGTTTTATGCACTTTGTAGTGTCTCAATATATATGTTGAAAGGAAAGGGCTAGAAAGATCAGACTACCAAAGGAGTTTTGTCTGTGTCTACATGTATTGAGGGGACTTCCAAACACGTGTTGACCAAGAATAAGAAGAAAATAAGAAAGAAGAGGGAAAATGGGAACTGTCTCATATCAATATCTCAATAATCAATACCCATTTCATAGTTTGATAAATCATTACATAAAAGGCCTATTTATAGGCATCCCGGGAAATTGTAATGAAAAGTTTACTAAAGATAAAGCACTACAATAATTTAATCCTAATGAAACATTAAAATCCGATAAATATGAAATATTGCCAAAATAAATCATTAAATCTTTATCCAATGCCTTCCTGATCTCTATAATTTCTCAAACTCTCATTCGAAGGGTTGTGAAAGTAGAGATTAAATTCATGCTAGCAAATTACTTCCTCAATCCTAATAGCATGTGAACGATGAAGTACTTTCTCAACAAGATGATACTAAAAGGTTTCATGTAGGTAATTACATTTTCACTCTCAATACTACTCTATGTAGCACAGGCAGACAGGAGATACAACACGGATGATGTTAACGATTTTTAAAAAAATGCAACGCACGATACGCCAAAGACATGTTAAAAATATATATTTATTATATATCATATTAGTAGTTCATTCAAGCGTAATTTAAAAAAAAATAGCATAATATATTCTATAACTTTTTTTTTTTTTTTATTTCAGCCAAATCTCTCAAGTGCCCCTAACACCCCAACTTCTAAATACACCCAAACACCCATGCCCGTATTGGGGCTTAAACCCCCAACCTTCCTTATGGAAGTGCCATAAGGCCATCAAAATATTATATACATAACAATTGCATTTTAAAGAATGCAAAGCAATTGTACAACATTGAAATTCATATGATGTATTCATCATATAATTGTTTCAAAATTTAGCTAGAATGCACAAGTTGTATTTCTAGTATGCAAAACATTGTTATTATGAAGAAATTCATCTCATGGGTCATGTTCGGAGGATTTAAGAAGGGTTGACAAAGTGTTTGTAAAATATCTAATATTATGAATTTAAATACATTAAAAGATGTGTTTTTGTCCACACACACACACACAAAAGAAGACGTGGACATTCTTTTAGTAGTTTTCGCCAAATGTCGGTGTTGGACACAACATGCATCCTCCATTGAAGTGTTCATGCTTCTTAGGTAGTACCAATAATAATCTGCTAAGTGACTTGATATGAAGCGAACATATGAGTTGGTGTTTTAAGCAGTGAAACTCTTGTAGAAACACCATCAAATAAAACAAAAGGCGTTGAAGTGTTCCAATCAAGTAATATATCCCCCTCCTGAATTATTACACCAATGTTTAAATTCAATAGTAATCAGTAAAACAGGCATTAGGTCCACATTTCATTAGATGTCAACAAGCAATATCTGGATGGATCTAAAACTTGATGCAAAGGAGTGTATGTAATGCCATGATGATTATAAATTATAATAATAAAAAACATCATTTAGAGAACTATTCATATCAAGTAATGAAATATGATTAACAGACTCATTAGATGAATGAGATAAGCAATTTCAAGTGAACTCTCAACTTTAGGCAAAGAAAATAGTCATATGACTGGGGAGGAGAATGATTAGCTCTAACATCAAGTGAGCTCTCAACAGGGGACAAAACATGATCAATTGATTCAGGAATGCAGAATATTTCAGACACAAAAAGGCTTCTCATCCGCAATAGATCTAGATCAACATCTTGCATGGTTTCAGGCTCAATATGTTCTTCCTTATGTGTCACAACAATTAGTGGTGATTCAACCTTCAAATTGTGCAAACTGCATAGGGACGGAACTAGGAGAAGACTATGGGAGCCATGGCCCCCCTGTTTCTGTGGAAAAATACTGTTTGGCACAGAACTTTAAAAATATATATATTGTTTTATACATAAAATAGCCTCTAGTATAAAAAATATGTATCTCATTCTTCTTCCATCTTGCATTCTCTTTCTATTTTGCACCAAAAAAATTTCATCTTATTAGAAATTGCTTCTATGGTATTTAATTATTTTTTTGCTATGTATATATATAATTTATATATATCATATTGTACATACAAGTGTATTTGTGTTTATGATGAAATTTTTTTTTTTTTTTTGGCCCCTCTGGTAATGAAATCCTAGTTACGTCCTACATACACAATATGAACAGCATTCAAGTTATCATTATACTCATATACGACACTAGAAAAATGAGACCTATTTTCCTCGTGGGTAACTTGTTTAACATGTCTCAGTCGTGCAGGAATGTGACAAGGATCCCTACTAATTGATTTCCCATGGCGTACTACTAGACTTCTGATTAGCACCTAACTTGTGAGGTTGAGAAGAACTAGCAACTTTTTTATCTTTAGATATTTTTTAATCTCTTAGCAAACACTGCAATATCTTCCTCATCTAATTCTTTTCTCCCTGAGAATCAACTATGTTTCCCTTCACAAACTTGAAGGCTATTCCCCTATTATTTTTTGAGGGACACATGTTTATCTCATTTTGTTTGATGAGATCCTACAAGTCCTTCAATTTACATTGTATTAAGATTCTTACTCTCTTCGATGGCTGTAATTTTAGCTCTAAAATGCTCCTAGACATACTTTAGAACATTTCTTACAATTTTCCCTCGCTGACAGCTTCACCTAAGCTAAAAGTATCATTAACTATGTCACTTAGCCTAGCATAAAACTGATAAAAAGTTTTTGACGCTTGTATTCTATATTTTTCAAAATTTGAAGTTAAAGCTTGCGGTTTAGAGTCTTTTACAGTTTCCATCATGATTAATTTTTAATATGCCCCAAACCTCTTTGGAAATCTCACAACTGGAGATATACCTGAACTCACTAGGAGTTACAACGCTGAAAATAGTATACAATGCTTTCTAGTTATACGCTGAAAATAGCATATCTTATCCCGTTGGGTATGAGTTTTCAATTTCTTTCGTTAGTGGTAGCATCAACCACAAAGGTTTGCTCAAACCCGAATTCAACAGACACCCAGATATGAGCCCCAAGGGACTGGAGATTCATCTTGCCTTTCAAATAAGGTAATCACTTTCATTGAAAAGTGGCGATCGAAACAGAACCTCCCTCTCTTTGCAAGCTTGATTCCATAAAAAGTTATAGATATACTCTAGCTATTATGCTAATCTAAGCAACCTGTGCTTTGATACCATTTGAAATTGCAAAGTCAATGGAAATTGCTCTTAGAGGGGGTGAATAGGCCAATTTAAAATTATATTAAGCTCTTCAAACTATTGGCCAATTGATTAACCAATTATCAGTTCAGGTTTTTAGTACAAGTCACTACAAAAAATTATGTCATACATAACACATTATTTTAACGTGTAAAACCTTTAGGAAAGCTATCCTAGTGGGTAAAACCACAGTCCCAATACCCTACAATGATCCACCAAGCAAATCAAAGTTTAGTGGACAATAGACGAGAAGACTTGCGACCAAACCCCAATTAAGCTAACTTTGAAATCCTTCGAGTACTCCACGAACACAGCATGACCCAGTAAGTCTTCTTTGATTGCCTTGATCACCAAGCTCTTTGCTTCAATCTCCACATAAACAGTGTATCAAACAATTAAAAAGCAGTCACACAGTTTCAAAAACAACTTAGGCAGCAAGTTGCATACAACCATATATCCAAAAGAAAAGGTATCAACAGTAAGCAGATTGCCAGGTTGGAATGTTGTTGCAGTATCTATATATGTTTAGTGTTGATGTTTACTGTTTTTGAAGTTTACATTTGACAGAACACACATAAGATAGGCTGGTAGATTTTGTGATCTGTATGCTTGCATATATATATATATATATATGTTTCAATAAAGTTTTCATGGGACTTAGCTAGATTGTTGCCGAAAAGCCCCAGCAGCACAACCCCCTGCCCCCAGCCAAACACACACGCACACACACACACACACACACAAAAAAAAAAAAGAAGAAGAAGAAAATAAAAGAAGAGAGAAGGTCTCCCACTCAATTTCTCATACATAGACTCCATCTCCATTCTTCTCCCTGCCTATATGGTGGTTTCGTGAGATAATGAGTTTTGGAGTTTGTTTAAACACCTCCCCCTTTTGCACCCTTGCTCCTTTTTTGTTTGCTCTTTTTTGTCAAGCTTACAACTTTTGTATTTAGTTCAGTTCTGATTGCCATATGTTCAGGTGGAAGAGAAACTTGAGGCTGGACAAGGAAAAACAATGGTCCGCCGGTTATTTTCCAGATTTTGTACTCCAATATTCTTGGAGGTATGTTTGTGCTATGTGTTTAAGTTGCCATTTTGTTGGTATGAAAAGCTGGTTCTTCCAGTGTTTTGTTGTTTATCTTTTGTCCACTTTAAGTGAAACAGATTTTAAAGTATTTTTTTGTGGTTTTTCTTTGCTATTACTTTTAAATGATTTTCAATATCTATAATTGCTTGTGCATCGAAGGATCCCTTATAAATTAAGCCATGATTGATTTTTCTGAACTCTTTGTACTTTACTGTCTGCAGTCATTTATTTTAACCTTTCTAGCAGAGTGGGGGGATCGGAGCCAGATTGCGACAATTGCTGTAAGATAACATTCTTTCCCATGAAAGCCTCTTTGGCTTTTCTTTTTTTTTATATTTGCTATGACTTTTGATGCAAAACTCCCTCTCCAGACACAGAATGTGGAAAGTACTGATTGAGATGAATTTGTACCTTACTATGCTATTAGTGCTGCCTACATATTTTATTTTTTATTTTTTTTTATTTTTGTTAATTTTAATATGCGAATAATTAATAAGAAACTAAAACTTTTCCATGTCATTTTTGGATGAATGTTGTTTGTTTGCTTTTCTAAAATGCAATGGAACCTACTAAGGACTTTCTCGGTGTTCTTATACTATTTCTTATTTCATGCTGATATAAATATGGTTTTGGTGAGATGGTTTTCAATTTAAAAATTATTTCTGATCAGCATTGTTTGTTTGGTCCTTGGGAAATATAGGGATTCATTTTAATTTATATTTTCCCCAGAAGAAAAAAAATAAAGTGAACATAAATAAAGCAGAAATGCCATTAGTTGATTACAAGATACAACTGTTTCCTATGGAGAAGATGGTACATAGGTTTTTTAATCTCAGCGTGTGAACATTGAATTTACCTCAAGGACCATACATAGTATTGCTTTTGTTCCAATAGGCTGTCAAACAAACTTCATCAAATTTTGTATTTTAAATGCATTTACATAACATATGCCCTATTGAAGTTGTGCACCAAGTTCATTCAAATGAGACAACATATTCTCTTAAGCTATGCCCTATTGAAGTTGTGCACCAAGTTCATTCAAATGAGACAACATATTCTCTTAAGCAGGGAGCCTTTGCTTTTCTCCTTAGTACATTTTGGGCATTGTTCATTGAGATAGATTTAAAGCATCCATACAAGGAAAAAGCGGCCATCTTTCTTTTCTTTTCTCCTTTTTTTTTTTTTTTCTTTTTTTTTTTTTTTGGGTATAGAATAGAAAAGGCGAGCATAGGAACTCATCTTTATTCTATGATATGTGATCCTGAGAACTTGATATGCATTGTTGAATCTATTTTCTAATAGTTTAAGTTTTTGGGATAATTGGTGACTTAGCATGGTATTAGAGCTAGGTTGGGAGAGGTCTTGGGTTCAAGCCTTTCTATCTGCATTTGATCTACATTCTTTCTTCTTTTATGTATAGATGTTTGCATCGCCACATGCAAGATGATATTTCAGAGAGCTTGATATACATTGTTGGCCGATTTCCTAATAGTTTTAGTTTTTGGGATAATTGGTAACAGTGCTACATTAGCAAAGTGGAGATGTTCCTAACTCAATTAGATGTTTTGGTTGTTTATCTATAAACTAATTGTAGCCAGCTAAATCTTAAATCTAACCATTTGTCCTTATTTGAACAAAGGAAGCATGGCTCTCTTAGATGGAAGTGTTTTTGTTTTTGTTTTTTTTTTTTTGGGGGGGGGGGGGGGGGGGGGTGGGGGGGGGGGGGGGGGGGGGGGTGGGGGGGGGGGGGGTTCTTGTTCCCAAAGTTGCCATTAGAAATTTATTTCAAATTGGATAATTTTTTGCCAAAAAAAAAAATCACTTCTACATTGTTAGGAAGCAATTGATGCATGTATGCATGTTATAGTTAAGAGATTTTATCTCATGATTCTGCAGCTGGCTACCCACAAAAATGCAATTGGAGTCGCAGTAGGCGCTATTCTGGGACACATGGTCTGTACATCGCTGGCAGTGGTGGGAGGAAGCATGCTTGCACTCAAGATCTCGCAGAAAACAGTTGCTGCAATGGGTGGGCTGCTTTTCCTTGGTTTTTCTTTATCTTCGTATTTTTATCCTCCCTTGTAACCATGAAACTGTAATATCTAACCTGCTTCTTAGGGCGGTTGTGCTCCATTTTTCAATTTTTGTCCATTTCACTTTTTCTTTTTCTTTTTTTCCTTTTTCTTTTTTCTTTTTTTTACAAAAAAAAAAAATTGAAAAATACTGCAATGGTCAACACCAGAAGTTTGTGCTTAATTCTCTATTTTTGTATAATATTGGCATATAAAAATATGTTTATGGCTTCCCCGTAATTTCCTTCACCGGCAAATGTTATTAATGTCGAAACCTATGAGTGCTTTTAGCCGAAAAAACTTTCGAGTTTTTTTTTTTTTTTTTGTGAGAACAATAAAGTGTTTGTTAATGAATTGTTCATATTTTCGTAAATGCGAATACATTTGAACTTGTTACCTTTCAGAAAGTTGTGTAGGTGTGCCCCATGCGTTGTTAAGGATATTTTTTTATTCTTGTTAATAAATGTCTCTAGAGCATAAGTAATTGACAAAAAATTTGAAGAACAAAAGATATTTTTTTACTGAATTTAATATATTTTTACTGAAATTAATTTGCCTTTTAACGTTGACATATTTTCAAAACATTTTATATACACTTTCAACATTAAATAAGGTGTGAAAATCCTTGGACTTTTTTTAATTTTTAATTTTAAAAATAATTTAACGTGTAAATTATTAGGTATCAATGCGTTTTAACACAACATTTAATGGTGGCTATTGCCTAATCACATGAAAGTAATCTGCCACTGGGCAGTATCCATGAAGTGCTAAAAATTACTGTATTATACTAAATTACTCTATTATCCTGTGTTTGGTTGAGAGATTTGGAAAAGAATTGAGAAAAGATAAAAAGTAGATAAAATGTGAATAAAATATATCTATAATTTACATAATTTTATGCATTTTTTCTTTTTTTCATTTAAATTTTTTTTCTCAATTCTTCAACCAAACACAGTATAGAGAATCCCATAACAGTTAAAAGTTGGTTGTTTGATGATGGGGCTCAATGCTGAGTTTCGCTAATTAATAATGTTATATTAATTGTCCTATTATATTACAATTAGATGTGAGATGTGCATAATCGTTTGACATTAACGAAACTTGTATATTTGATATTAATGAACCTTATATAAGACTGGCTTATACCAATAGTTGTGCAGCATATATTTTTGTTGTTTATTAGGGTTAATAAGAGTATGGAAATGTATAACGAGCCAAGATTTACACCTTTGGGCACCTCATTGTGACTATGAGCACAGGTTTATTATCAGGCAAAAAGATGTATACAGTAAACGAACATAATTGAATAATTAAAATCGATGGTTTTTTTTTTTGACTTGTAACTGTTATTTTAACGGATTTATTTTGTTTTTGTTTATTGTTTATTTTTTGTTTTGTTGGGATGACTCTTTGAGGTCTTGATTATGTGCTGTTATTATTTTTTATTAATATAATGTTTTTCCATGTTCTCAAAAAAAAAAAATTGAATAATTGAGTATAAAAATTTAATAAATTTTAAATTTTATTTAAGCTTTGACAAATTTAGTTTTGAAAAAATTAAAAGACTCTAATAAACTTTAAATTTTTTATTTTTCAATTTTAAATACTAATATTTAATTTGTTTTTCTATTAGGTAAAACCAACACCAAAAAAAAAAAAAAAAAAAATATTTTAATCATTAGACTTAATGTAAATATACATAAAATGTTTAAAATATCATTTGTCATTAAGTTTAATAACTGAAATTTTTTTCCAAAACATTCAAGCAATAAATCCAACTTAAAATTTTCTTTGTCCAAAGTGCAGGTGCTAAAATAATGTGCACAAGGACATCATTCTGCAAATTGACCAAAACACCCATGTATATATATTGTATAAACATTTGTTTCCAAACCAAACCCTTCCTGTCTCTCTCTGTCTCTTCTGTTTATCTTTCCAAACCAAACCCTTCCCCTCTCTCTCTCTCCTCTCTCGAGGCTCCGGCTAACCATTTTCCAGCTCTGTCGTCTCCTAACCAAACCATTTTAGATCTCTCTCTCTCTCTCTCAAATGGCCACTATTGTCATGAGAAAAATCCTAAAATCAGTAAAACCTTTCATCGTTCTCAGAACCCTGTCCTCATTTGAGAACTACCGCTTCACTGCCATAGCCACCGTCGGAAAACCCGAACCCCAATGCCCTTATTCCTTTACATGTTCGGAGGATGAAGAAGCTCAGTTGAAGAAGATGAATGATGATGATGACGATGATGATGATAGCACCGTTCATCTCAGAAGCACGGCAATGATGATGGCATCTTTCATCTCAAAAGCAAAATTTAGACTAGAAGGCCAGATCCGGCCAGATCTATGCATTGTTTGTAGAGTGGACTGCCTGAGGCCAGGGTTTGGAGGCAGTAGTGTCACCACCGCAGACAGAAGTGATGGTGGCGGTGTTTTAACGAATTGCACCCTGGTTTTGATCTCTCGATCAAAAGCCACTAGGGGTGTGTAAGGTACAATTCAGGCAATTTGAGAATAAAATTATAAACCAATTGTGAATTGACAAATTACGGTTTTGGACAAATTAACAGATTAAAAAATATTTTAACCAACCATCAAACCTTTGCATAATATATAACACTAATTTACATAATATTTTTCATATATATATATATCAAAAACTAATTTTACATAATATTTTTTATATATATAACTACTAATTTGTAATAAATTATACATTTTAAATCTCACACAGTTATTTTTATTTTAATATTTCATTATAGGTTAAAGAATATACATATAATTATAATAGAACGGAGCAATTTCGAATGCAGATTGTAAGTTTTAAAGTTTAAACTGCGATTAGTAGATAGAACGGCACAAATTAATACAAATCGATACAGTTTTAGCAAATTAAGCAATACTTTGCACAGTCTGAGAAGCCATCATGATTGGCGACGACAGAATGGTCTGTGATTTTGTTAATTTGGTTCATTTCTCTCTCTCTCTCTCTTCTGTATATAGATAGATAGATACAAGTGTATACACACATATAAGCCTCTAATTCCCTCAGATTGGTAATGATGATGATGATGAAACAGATTGATGCTCCTCTCTGTCTATTCTTCTTTCTTCTTCTTTTTCATTCTTACAGATAGAGTGAGAAAAGAGAGACGAGCAATAAGAAATGTTGATGATTGCAACAGATAATTTTTTTTTTTTCTTTTTCAACAAAATAGATTCTTTTTTTCATTTTCAACAAATGGATTTTCAATAGATAGAGAGAGAAAAGAGAAGTGGTGAGAGAAACAAACAAATCTATTTGTGTCTCCATATATGTTCAAAAAATTGAACAAATAGGTTCAAAAAATATTTGTTGTTGAACATATCTGTTCAAAATTTGAATAGACATTAGCTTTGGTGTATTTTAATAACAAAGATTCCAACAGATAAATAGAATTCAATAAAAAAATTGAACAAATAATAAAATTTGGACAGATAAATTTAAACAGATAAGGGAAAAAGATTGAACAAATAAGGGGAAAAAATTAAACAGATAAAAATTGAACAAATAGGAAAAGGTTTGAACATATAGATATAAATTTGAACCGATAGGCAGTAAAAGTCAACAGATAAATTAAGAGATAAAATTAAAAACAATGTTCTTCATAACAAACAAGAAAAAATTTCACTAAACTATTTCACAAAGGATAAACCTCTCATTAATAAATAAAAAATATTTACTAGATCTAATGCCTTAGAATATTGCTAGAGTTAATTTTTCAACAATTCTCTTCTCTCTTTTTTTTCATCAGTGTACTTACTGAAAATAAACAAATAGTTTAAAATGTAAACAAATCAAGAGTTCAAGATTTAAATAGACAATTAAAAATTTATGATTTATTTTGTTACAAAAGTCAAATCCTATGATTTTATTTTATTTTATTTTATTTAGTAATTCCCCTTTAACTTTTAATGAATTGAACACAAATTCGAATAGTTTAATTTTTTATAGTTAATATAAATTTATCAAACCAAGTAATCAATTCTTTAAACTTGGTTTGAAAAGTCAGCACATTTTAAAATATGTTCAAATTTGACTTAGTCACATAAACAATTGATTTTAAATGAATTTTTAACGAATCAAACACAAGTCAGGTTATAAAAATTAAAAATTAAGCAGTTAAAAGAAAAAAAATGGCAAAGAGATGGCAACACTTCCATGATTTTTAAATCTTTTAAGCATAAATTACACAGACCACCCTTGAAATTTTAAAAAGATACAATAGATTCACAGATTTTGCATGATTACATCAACTTCTCTTTTAGTAAAGAGAAATTGACTAAAACAAATACAAATAATGTGAAAACACATGGATCTATGTAAGAGATATGATGACATCTAAACCCTAAACCCTAAACATTAAGCAAGCCCAATATGATTACGCTAAACTTAGCATCTCCATACCTGAAGGGGGGTTAGTGCAATTTAGCCGTCTTTTATCACCAAAAACCAAGTTGCTTTTAAACGAATTCATAACCTATATTTGCACTCTCAAGTAGCAACAAATATTTTATCTGCAGCTAGCTGGTTTTCCACAGCATTTCTCATACTATATCTAAAAATTACAAGAAAACAAAAAAGGGATATATGGCATTTCATAAACTACTGAATAGATTTCTATGGGTAAGAGGTGGATCAGATGCCCCAACAAAAGAATCACAAAATATTGACAGTAAGTTGCATAAATGAGTTTCTATTTTTTGTTGTTCCAAAACAACCAAAGACACAACGGCAACAACTGTTTCCAAGTAGCAAGAATCGTGATTCATTGATTATACGAGAAATGAATGAACAACAAATAGACACAAAAATTCAAAGTCACTTCGACATATGAAGCAATTCATCCAACCTCAACTGTTCAAACTTAGTCTCTATTAACATTAGAGGGGACATGCAATTTACATCCATTAAAACATTCAAAACTACCCTTCCCTTGACTTTAAAAAGCAATTTCGAATGCAGATTGTAAGTTTTAAAGTTTAAACTGCGATTACATAAATCTCTGCAAATTGAAACTACAAGCAATACACAAAGCATACCTCATTGCCGTTCTTGGGGATAATTCATTTCAAAAGCAAACCTTAACGCTTCTCTTTAATTGATGCTTCGCCTTTTGCAAACATCTCACCCTCAACGAAAACCTGAACCCTGCTGATCAAAATCAAAGTAACAAACAAGAAACTGTGCCTATGAGAATTGGAATT